ACTGTTGGTACCATAACCCCTAAAATCAATCCCCACCTTCCTATTGTGGTATTGAACCTTATGGTAAAATTTCATAGAGATCCATTCACTTAAACTAAAGTTAGAGTGCGAAAACCATTGTGTATTCGGACGACGACGCCGGACGACGACGCCAACGTCATACCAATATACGACCTCAAAATTTTTTTTGCGGTCGTATAAAAAGGTTTCGTGAAATTCTGTTGTGTGGTTTGAGAGGAGTTGCGATGACAAGAAACAGGACTGACGGACTGACAGACAGACAGACGGACAGACAGACGGACAGACAGACGGGTCAAAAACATTATACCCTCCGCAACTTGTTGCTTGGGGTATAATAACTTTAGAACGGTCAAAAGTGATGCCACCCAAACTCAAACTTGATCTGTGTTTTGTGGTTATTAGCATTGTGTATAAGATTCATAACATTTGGTTGAGGAGGCAAACTTAAGTTAGAGAATGTATGGACGGATGTACAGACGGAAAAGGGTAAAACTTAATGCTCCCTCTGCTACGGCAGGGGCACAAAAAACAAAAAAACAACAGTTTGTATTCAAGTTTATTTCACACTTCATTCATAACAATAAAACAAATTTTTTACATCTTGAATTTTGTTCCCCCAAAATGACATAAATTAACTCACAACCTATGTGCTCATACTAGTGCATACAACAGCCAATCACATATATTCTTGACCACAGGATCAACTGACATCAATTACCCATTATATATTTCCTTATTTTTATATTCTTTATTCATACTTCCATTCATCATTTAAAACAAGAGTTATATACAGTTATGATTTAAATTAAACACATATATCAAGCATTGAAAACATTGTCAAGAGTATCTGGACTCCTTTTTTATACTAAATTATTCTGTCAGACAGTTAAACAACTTAAAATTACAACATGGATATGTTTTACAAAAATTAAAATTTTTAATTTTTAATGCATTATTTGTATTTCGGCATTTCTCTAAAAAAAGCATTATATAATCTCAACTTTTTGTTCAATGTTCAACATCCACAATAATAAATGCAAGCACATTTTTTCTAATTTACAGGAAATAGAGATGTGATGTATAACATCAGTACAAGCAAGAATGTGCAAAAAAAGTGTTCATATACACCTCATTTTTTGCATTTTAACTTCTAAAAATTTGCATATGTCAATAAAAACATGCATAATTTGTTGCACTTATCTAAATCTCTAGGCAGTTAACGTACATACACATTAAAAGAATACTCCATATTACTGAAGTCAATAATAACAGACTTTGGAACGTTCATAGACTTTAACTAAAGGTTGTTTTGTGTAAGATTAAAAAAATATATATGTGCTTTCATAAAATTAATGTATTTCATTCAAAGCGTATTACTGTGGATTCATTATTGTTCATGGGATACCAAATTTGGTGGACTTAGTAGGTAAAGCGGTACCACAAATTCCAGTGTTCAACGAGGTAAACATTTTCTTTAGGCTTGTACTAAGACTTTGGCAAAACCACAAAATCAAATATCCTCAGAAATATAATAATTCCACAATTCAAGAAAATTGATACATGGTTTGTTGTACTCACGAAAAATAAATAAAATCCACAGTATGTAAAAATCTTCAAATAATAATTTTCATATTTGTCACAGCGGCCTATATTCTTATGAAAATGATCATAAGTAGACATTCTAAAATTTGACAAATAAAAGTAATACCTAATACCAATGACGACATACTGTACAACAAAATATCTTTACAATTTTAAATTTTTACATATGGCACGTAAAAAAGGCAAGTCTTATTTTGGCTAAAAAACATATACTACTGAAGATGGAAACTCGGAGAAAAATATTTAGTAATACTACATGTACTACTTTATGTTGTCTTTACAGCTAAGTGATTATAAAGTAAAATCCACAGACCAATTTCACATTCATGCATTTTCCCATATATTTCCGATGTCACCACAATGCTTATGTTATTACCTTACAGTAAGAATGGACTGTTCAATGATTTCATTTACACAAATTGACCTCAGGTCAACCAGTGTAACTAATTCCTAAATAGGAACCTTCAATTGGTCTATTAATTTTGGAATAAAAAGGGTTTGACTACATACATGTGTTGAAAAGTTTCTAATAAAGGTTCATAACATATAATTTATTTACCATTGAATTCGTGCTAAAAATTTTAAATTAGAGTTATCTTTCTTTTACCAGAAGAAAATCAAATCATCATAGAACACCAAATACTTTTTATATTGCAACTGTGCTATTTGGGCCGTTAAAATTCATTTACGATCTTGGTTACTCAAATTAAGAATTGTTGATTTCTACCCATAAAATTAGTGACTGCAGTATCAAGAGAATAACAATAAATTGTTTCAAAATACAAAGCCTCAATTCTATATTTCTTAAACAGGACATCCTTAAAACCTTCAATCTGTTTTACACAAATATAAAATACATGCCCTACAAGTTAAAATATATATTTTTAAGTAATAATAGACATACTACAAGAACAATATGAATTTGGAAAATATTGGAGTCATAGCCAACCAACACAGACAATTCAGACATGTGTCTACAGTCCATGGTTGCATAATTTCAACATTAGGATTGTGTGTGTAGTTATTATGTATTATTTCAACACTAGGATCCTGTGTGTAGTAATTATGTATTATTTCAACACTAGGATTCTGTGTGTAGTTATTATGTATTATTTCAACACTAGGATTCTGTGTGTAGTTATTATGTATTATTTCAACACTAGGATTCTGTGTGTAGTAATTATGTATTATTTCAACACTAGGATTCTGTGTGTAGTTATTATGTATTATTTCAACACTAGGATTCTGTGTGTAGTTATTATGTATTATTTTAAGGATGTACTTAGGTGAAATTAAAAAAATCAAGAATTCAAAATTGATACTATAAGTTGGAAGAGCATTAGTAAAGGAACAAAATAAGCTAAAAATATTGATAGGTAATGGAGCTCCTTTTCGAGATATTTGATTTTTAAAATATGGCGGGAAAATGCTGACTCTGACTTTTACCTTATATTTGCATTGGTATTATTTGGGTCTCAAATCAAAAGAAAAAAAATCAAGAATCTGCTTAAATTTTGGCAAATGACCTTTTATGAGCTATTAAGTCTTATATGAAAAGATAAATGGGTGTTATGGGGCAAAATATTTTACCTTGTATCGTATGGTAAAAAACCAAGGAGTCCAAACATCTGACACAAATTCAAAAACCTCACCTAAGTACATCCTTAACACTAGGATTCTGTTTGTAGTTATTATGTATTAACAGTGTGATTATGGTGAAAATGTAACTGAAACTAAGCTGTATCCAACTGAATGGCTTTCAATTTTTCCTTTGCTTTTGTGTTCGGACTATTAATATATTGACAACAAGTCCTGGAATAAATTAAATCCTGTAAAGTCATGGTAATGATATATTACTTTGAGAAATACTTCATCAAGGCTATCAACATATTCCACTGTTAACCATGTAAAAAACATATTCTATTATACACCACTTAAATGATAATTAAAATAAATGCTGCTAGAAACATGTTATAGGTATTTTTTGTTAATTTAAAAATATCCTTACCCGTAGATTATCATTACTGTTAAATAAATGATGAGCATGTTTTTTTTTACTTCTTCATGTCTTTTAATTGTTCAAGGTCAATTGTACCTATACTTAATGCTGGTGAAGGATTATACTGTTATGACAACATAAAAGATGGTATGTTACCATTCTTCCATGCTATCAAAACAGATATTGAAAAATTGATTGTAAATAGACTCGAAGTTTTGTTCAACATTAGAAACAGCAGTATCAAAACATAAAATTTACTGAATTTCTATATATAATTTCTCCAAGGTAAAGTTCAACAGATTTAAAAGGAGTTAAAAATTCAAAATTACTCATTAGAAATGGTTGACATAAAAACACTAGTTAAGGCAATATCAATTGACAATAGATAATTTGTAACTTAAATTTAGGTTGTCTTTTCTCCTAAGTGTACAGTTATGTATAATACCCATCCCCTCTACCAACTATGTGTCTTTGGTAAAGAATTGTGTATAATACATGTCCAAATACGGTAGTCTTTTTCTACTAAGTATTTAAGTCATAAATCAATCTCATCAAAAGATACTGTAGACTCATTATTATTTGTGGTGTACTTATTTCAGTGGCTTTCCTCAGTAAAGGTGAACTACAAACTTAAGTGTTCAACGCAATTCTTAGTTTTTTCAATAGGCTAGTATGCTGAATTCGTAAAATACAGTATTATCAAGTATCCAATTTTCCTTAATCAACAAAAATTCCTACACATGAAAATAAATAAAAATCTACACTTAAAAATAACAACCTACACGTAATAATAAGGTGGTACAATGCCTCTACAAAATAATGCAAAATAAAGAGAAATTTCATAATATACATTTGATTGAGTTTTCTTCAGATAAAAGATGTATAATGCTGTTTAAAAAGAAATGAAAAAAAAAATAAGAATCTTTTATACGATTCCTTTCCTAGCAAGGCAGATAATCTAACTGAGATTTTTAAACACTTAAAGTATTCTCAATGCAAAACCAAGCAAGTTTTCACTAAGTTGAATGATTTTGAAAATAAGATACAATGAAAATCAGAGCAAAATACTCTGAGACTAAAATTGCCTCCAAAAGTTCAATCAATTATAAACAACTGTCAGGAAAGAGTAGAGATAGTGCAGCTAATCAGTCTTATTTAAAAATAATGACCTTGGTATGGTATTTTTAAACAGTTTGTAAATACAATATACAGTCAACATAAACTATTCAACTACAAGTTATACAAAAAGTTTCAATGCCATCAATATATTAAAAAAAATCTACAAAAATTTCACATGAGCCTCTCTTCATTGTTAATACCAAACAATCTACCATTATCATTTGTCGATACCCAGATGACAGGATGAAATCCAATTACTATCTATAGTTTGAATCATAACCAATATCTAACAATAGAAGTTTTCAAATTTTCTTTAAAATAATTATTACAAAAAACATTTCAATCATGGTAGACAAATATTAAATAATTATGCAGTGTGTCTGTCACACTTTGGTAAATCATGAGATTTGATCATGTCTGAAGGCTGTTGACTTCGATGATATAGGTACATTGTACAGTGTGGTGAAAGTTAGGCCAAGGTAAACTGTATATCTGTTTAGGGTTCAGTGGTTTGTCAAAAATAGGACATATCTCCCCTCTGCCTTTTCTGTGTACCCCTTTGGTCTTATATTTGTCTTTTTATTTTCTAGAGGAAAAGAAATACTTTTCACTGCAAAAAAAAATTTATTGTATATCTTCTTGAAAAAGCTTTTTACAATCACAAGATACTATAAATGAAAGAAAAAGACATTTATTTATCTAATTATTTAAATACTTTAACAGTAAACATAATAAGCTTGTCCTTTTCAGACCAGAAACAGCACCCAATAAGCCCTTTCCTGAAAAATGTTCCTCTCTGCCTTGAAATCATAGCTAAAACACTGATTACTGAATATTTTCAGGCAAGTGGTGTTGAAGTCATTAGTGTTTCCCACTAACTATATAAAATAATTCAGAAAAATAAAAAATATTGCCTTCCCATATTCTCTTATTTTTTGAGACTTAACAAACCCTAAACAGATATTTTTTTTTGTTGACCTAACACTGAGATATGTGGAACTGAACTTAATAACCTGAGTTTATTTATCAACAAGAATATGTCTTGTAATCAAAATTGATAAACTAATTTAGATAATCCCCCTTTCATTGCAGGAAGTATGTAAATCAAACCTGAAACACTGTAAGATAATTTAATTATTATGAAGATTTAGCTCTCATGGCCAGCATGGGAGCTTAGCATTAATAACTTCATGTCAATAAAATCAGGCATGTGCCATTAAATAAATTGCATTGATAAAATTTAACAAACATGTTTTTCATTATTATACATATAGCACAACAATCTTATGTTTCAAAATAAATCTCTTTTATTGTTGTTTAATTCTATTAAAAGTCACTCTATTTCGCTTATTTGTTTCAAATTTTTAATTCAAGAGTTATCTCCACTTGTGATATTTTCTGCATAATATTTGAAATATACAGAGTGTAACTTTAACTTTGCAAAAAAATGATACATGGAAACAAGGTGATATTAAGTTCAAAATTATATATAAAGTGCTATTATCATCATTATTCTGCACATTTTACCTAATACTCCTTTCAAGCAATTTGTATAACTCTTTTAACCTTCATAATTTAAAACAGAAGTCATTTTTAAGAAACTGGGTAGTGCTGTATTCTATATATATATGTAGCCTTGTATTAACCTTAAAACCATATAATAAATAAATACTCTTGATAAACTATAATTCAAAAAAGTTTGTATGTTTTCAATTGAAAGATATATTCTTGTAAACAAACGTATATTCAAATTATATACATTCTCATCTTGGCCGTATTTTCTCATAATGAAAAAGATTTCCTTTCTCAACATAAGCACCGTCCACTATTTCAAATATTTGGTTCTTTGTAAATTCAAAGTGCTCCTGTACAAACTCATAAAAAGCTTGTTCCATTTTCCAAACATGTGAACTTTGAATCCTTTTCACAGTCTCTGGCTTCGGTGGAATTTTATGAGAAGTTTTTCTTAAATGAGACTTTCGTCCTGCAAAAGAAAGCACATCATAGCTATATAAACCACTAATCAATGTCATAAAAATAAATGGCTTATTGTTTCAGTTTAAGAGTGCAATCTTAACCATGGTTTAAAATATGTTTGTACAATTTAATTTGTTGATTCTTTGTTGATTCAAGTCCTGAGGAATCACTTTAGGGCTTTTCCATTAAAATGTATGTGGGAGGGTAGGAAGGGAAGTTTAATTATTGAATGTGGGTCATGGGTCTTTTTTCAGTATGTGTCTATTACCATTATGCAAAATTATCTAAAAAATGGTTCTTGGTTGTAGGGATATTTTGAAAGTCCCTTCCTACCCTCCCACATACATTTTAATGGAATAGCCCTTACAGGCATAAATGGCTTTAGCCATATTTGACACAATTGTTTTGGAATTTTTGGTTTCCAATCCTTTTCTGACTTTATTTTTGATTTGGCCTTCCTATTGTTTTGATTTGAACGTTACTGATAAGTCTTATGTAGATGAAATGCACAGAATTATAAGCCTGGTATCTTTGATAATTAGTTATATAACAAGAATGTGTCCATAGTACACGGATGCCCCACTCGCACTATCATTTTCTATGTTTAGTGGACCGTGAAATTGGGGTCAAAACTCTAATTTGGCATCAAAATTAGAAGGATCATATCATAGGGAACATGTGTACTAAGTTTCAAGTTGATTGGACTTCAACTTCATCAAAAACTACCTTGACAAAAATCTTTAACCTGAAGCAGGACAGATGGACGGATGGACGGACGGACGGACGAACAGACATACAGATCAGAAAACATAATGCCCCTAATACTATCGTAGATGGGGCATAAAAATAAAAAGATGAGGTATAATTTCCATGAGACAACTCTCCACGAGAGACCAAATGATGTAGAAGGTTACCATATTCAGGATATGAGTGTGATGAAAATATAATACAAATGCTTAATTTTTTTTAATCAATACCTGTATCTCAGTAAAGCAGAGTGAGGTAATCTAGGGATTATATGACAGATATTTCAGCCTCTTGTGCATTTACAATATTTTAACAAAGCAAGGACCATTACTTTTGAAGGATAAATGTTAAATCCACTAAAAACAAACTTAACTGTAAACCTCAGTTTTATAGTCCACAACCCTGTGAAATAAATTGCTTCGCCGAGCGCAGCTGGATACGACCGCAGAGGTCCATACCTGAACGAGTTAGGGCAAAAATGGACAAAAATGGACACAATTTTCGCACTTGATACAGGTCTGAATTAGGATTGTAATTAAATATTTGACACATAATAGGTTTCTGACACAGAATAACTGTAGTCAAAGAACTTAGAATTGGTTATATGAATTGAATTTATATTCAATTTTTGCTTTTGTGCAATACACTATGCTGTTGCGAATTGAACCCCTCCCCCCCCTTTTTTAGCAAAAAAAAATATAATAATATTTGAAGAAATTTTCATTTTAAGGTCTGAAATCTGAAATGAGAAAAAATTGTCTCCCCCCCCCCCCACAATTTCTTTTTTACCCCCCCCCCCCCCCCCCTTTTTAAAAAAAAAATCTTTCCCTCAAGATTCCAATGGAGTTTGCAACTATAATTACCCATTTAAATACATCATCATAGTCTTAATATAGAAAATGTCATACATAATCGTGGCTAAAATTAATATTCCTTAATCAGCATTTTTAATAGTAACTTCTAAAAATAAATTGACAGCTAATCACCTCAAGACAATGCAACATTTCTTTATATATAATTTAAAAGCAGTGTAAGGGAGGTAATCCAAACATAACATTGTACTTTTAAGTAATTGTCCATTAACCAGGAAACCCTTGTTTTTCCACCTTTTTTGCCCCTTATTCCTAAACAGTTTGGGCCATAACCCCCCAAAGCTAATCCTAACCATCCCTTTGTGGTATGGAAACTTGTGGTCTAATTTCTCAGAGATCCATACACCTTTCCACAAGTTATTGTCTGGAAACTAGAAAAATGCTTATTTGGGCCCCTTTTTGGCCCCTAATTCCTAAACTGTTAGGACATAATCCCCAAAATCAATCCCAACATTCCTTTTGTGGTTATTAACCTTGTGTTTAAATTTCATAGAATTCTATTACAATACTAAAGTTATTGTTCGGAAACCAAATATCTTCGGATGATGCAGACGACGTGATACCAATATACGACCGCAAAATTTTTTGCGGTCGTATAAAAATATTACAGGTATATAATAACAAAATATATGTGACAAGCTCAACTGAAATATGATATAAAAACAAGGAGATGTGGTGTGATTGCCATTGGACAAATATCTAAAAAAATATCTGACAAAATATCAAAGAACAAGGATGTTAACATATCTGGGCATTTGTTTTATGATAGTAAGTAAATATATGGTAAGCAGGATTTTACAAAGTAGGTAGGTGTTTTTCTCCATCTGCAGCTCTGCTTTAACTCGAACTTTTTATGATTATGATGGGTTAGCAGCTACCAGCTTTGGCAACTAAATGTTACACCGTACTTCCTGGCAAACTATTGTATTAAGTCTATGCCTAGAATTGTGATTTTATTTTTTTTTTAAATAGCTTAGCTGTAAGATTTATTCATACATTTACCAAAATGTCTTCGATTTTGTGAGTTCTGCATCCTTACCTTCGTTAAATAATGCTACAGCTCCCCTAAAGAATCGAGGTAATGTGGCTTCAATGACAGCAATAAAATCACCTAACTGTTCTGTAACACCTACGACTAGATAATTTTGGAGTATATTGTATTTTGCTCTCTCTAGAGCCCAACTACTACCAGGATTCCTGAAAAAAAAAGTCATACATGTTTATTTGAATGTGCTAGGACCAACAAAATAAAAGATCAGTTGTTTGGATCTGTTTGATAAATATCTTACAAGAAATGTAGGCATGAAATCTGGAAAGAAGAAATAAGTAAGAGAAAGGTGAGACTTAGTTTCACATAGCATACTCATAGTAAAATGAAGACAACACTAAAGTTGAAAAAAATTCTAACCTCCATCAGAACAGCCTTGTATGTGAGATAAGAATGATACATTAATGTATACATGGAGCAGAAGGACTCAGAATTGAGCCGTTTAATTCGTGGGAATTCAGGAATTCAGGATTTAATTATATCCTGATGTGGGAACAGACACATTATTTTCACGGGAAATCAGGATTTGGCAATTATTTTCTCAGGAATTCAGAATTAGACAACCCACCTCTCCTCTCTTTTTAATTATATGTGTTAACCATTAATGATCAGCAACACTCATCTTTTCATAAATGCAAGTAAAAAAGTAAAGAAGGGACCAAATAATCAACACAATTGTTGAAAATAGAGAAAAAAAATCATTATCTATAAATATGCTTTTGCCAAAGAAAAAAAAACTTTCACCTATGTATACGTATAAGTATATAATGTACCTGAAAAAATTTGTTTGGTTCATTTTTAAACTAATTTAATTAAGAAGGGTTCTGTTAATTGCCCTTTATTCTATGTGGGTTGCATACCTGCTAACCTCTCAAAATCTCTATGGAGGATGATAAGCACAAAAGAACCTACTACATCCCTTCCACATGTGATGCATTTTGAATCTAATGCACTATAGTTTTGAATGATTAAGTGTATTTGTAAAATTGCTCTTTTAATGTCTGTTTTGGTGTATTCAGTTATATAATTAAGAATTTCTAGAGCCAAGTCAACTTCCCTCATGGGAAATTTTGTGAAGGAAAATCACTTCTGAAATTATGAATGCGAGTTTTTGTTATTGTTAACCTAATATTGAAGAATTTTTGCATTAATAAAAACATGGCAAAAATTTCTGAATTAAATGTAATTAGATCTGTTACATACCAACATTCGGCATCCTGACCACAGAAAAATGGTATTTGTAACCATAAATGTACAGGATCACAGTCATTACCTCCCTTTGCTACACATTCATCAAAGGTCTGAAAAATTAAAAAACAAACAAATATATAATAGAATAAATATAACAGAATAAATAATTAGTTAGAATATGTAACCATACTCTTAACAGATCATTGGTGGCTGAATGGTCTAGTTGGTTTATCAACCACCTAAGTGGTCTCATTACAGGGTTGTAGGTTCAGTCTTTCTAACAACTGTAATCTAACAAATATAAAAAAAAATTTGTTCAGGAAGTCTGTCAGTATAAAGAAGGGTTCATAACACATCAAAATGGTCTTGTCCTAAAAATTACTAAAATAATGCCCATTGGATGTTGAGCATGCATTCAACCATGGATATGTGCCAAAAGCTTAAGGTAATACAACTGCATACCAAATATCATTGACTTACCATTAGTGGTTCATTAAACTGACCTTAATACAAACTTTAACAGGTAAAATATGCAAATGCTTTAAAGTTAATAAACTATTTTTAGTGGACAGGGCCAAATAATCTTGGTGGAAATGAGATGTGTCAATGCTTATGAAACTGCATACTAAATATCATTGGTTTACCATTAGTGATACATATTAAACTGACCTTATAACAAACTTTAAAATTGTTGACCCTGCTGATTCCAACACCAGAAACAACACCCCTGCATGAGTTAGTCCAGGAGGGACAAAAATGGTGGTTAACCACATCAAACAAAAATAATCAAGCTTTGACACACAATACATTACTACCCTTCCCTTCTTTCCCAGTCTTTGTCAAAATATTCAAATAGCAGCAAAATCAAATTCTACTATACTTTTTAAATCAGATATAGAGAATGAGAGCCTTCAAAATCTATTATAACTTTGACACAATTTCAAATGTAATTTTTTCTAAAGATAATGCACCTGATGTTTGAAATAATTCATTTATTTCTCATTTTCTGGAAACCTTTTAGACTCTTACATTATCTAAAACAAAATTACAGATTTTATCTTTGTCCTCATTGGAACTAAAATATTCTTTGTTTAAATGTGCATCAGCAGGTCTGATATCTTTATTTCTAGTATGGTTTTAATTAGATGTTGCAAATTAAAAATCTGTATCTCACAGTATACTTATATCGTTGCTTATCGTCCTTCCCTTTACCTATATCATTCCATAATTCTCGTTTTACAGCTCTTAGACATGAGCAGAACTTATCATCAACGTCACAATGTCTGAGAAGTTATCAGGGATGTCACAATGTGTGAGAAGACATTATCAAGCTTTCTTTCGTCAAGCATTAAACTTTCAAACAGATAGATTTCCTAAAATATCAGCCGCTCTACACAATGTCTTGGCAGCTCAAGTCTTCTTTGCTTGTTCGCTGTGCTCACTCGCCAAAATGGTTCACATTGTGGCGCTGCTGATATTTTATATCAATGTGTAGAAAACTCAATAATCTATACCTTCAAGGCAGAGGACTGTTTTCTGTATTAATAACTCTAGAACGGTTAAAATGACGCCACCAAAATTCAAACCTGATCTGTGTTTTGTGGTAATAAGCATTGTGTATAAGTTTCATAACATTTGGTCGAGGCAAACTTAAGTTAGAGAACGGAAACTAAAAATTTTGCAATTTTTCCATTTATAAAGGGGCATAACTCTAGAACAGTTAAAGTGACGCCACCAAAATTCAAACTTGATCTATGCTTTGTGGTAATAAGCATTGTGTATAAGTTTCATAACATTTGGTTGAGGCAAACTCAAGTTAGAGAACAGAAACCAATTTTGGGATGTACGTTCGTATGTACGTACAGACGGACAAGGGTAAAACTTAATGCCCCCACCGCTACCGTGGGGGCATAAAAAACTCTTACACATATATCATATATCTAAAAGCAGTTAATCATGTAAATCTTTGGAGAACTGTGATCCTATTTGCTTACAGTGATAAATGATGGGTTAAATATAATAAAGTAACGAAATTTTACAAAGTTTTAATTTGGATATCAAACTTTTGTTGTAAGAAAACACATTTTTTTAAAAACAACAGAACCAAACATTTATTGTATATGTGGATTAGAATCCCATTTTGTACAGTCAAAGTTCAAACCTGTATATAAAGGTCACTTGAGGACCAAATAAAAGTGTCCTTTTTAAGAGATGTGACCTTTGATTTGATTTGATTTGATTTTTGGTGTTTTTACGCCACTTTTATGCACCGCTTTTGGGCTATTTCGTGGCGATCAGTTTATATTGGTGGAGGAAGATGGAGTGCCCGGAGAAAACCACCAACCTTCAAAGGAAAACTGACAATCCTAGTCAATTAAGATTGGAGTCATGTGTACCCGCACGAGCGGGGTTCGAACTCACAACCTCAGTGTTGACTGGCTAGTGATTACAGTAGTAACTAGTTAGACCACTCTGCCACCGAGGCCCCCTGTGACCTTTGAAGTGAGGTTCAAAATGTAAAGGTATTACTACAGCAGGACAAGCTGAGGTGACCTGACAAGAAAGTTTTTTTGTTTAAAAGAGGTGATTGTATCAGCACAGATAAACAACAGATTGTTGCAAAACTAATTTAAAAGAACTACTATTTTGATGCAATCTTAATTCCTAGCAATGATAGCAAAGACAAAAGGCTGTCAACAAGTACAACACAATATATAAACCAAACAATGAAAATTTTCTGTATGTTTTGCAGTATATCCATTCATTGTGGCACCAGACAATTGTTTTTTTGACATTTATCATACAAATACATCTAATTGATAACTAACTTCAAAGCTATGGAAAAGTAAACTACTAATTACTATAATTACAGTAAGTAAGTGTTTTTGCATATACAAAATGTTACAGAGAAATCTCTTAATCAACATGACATCCCGAACAAGTCTGGTTCTTAGGTGCACTACCAGTCATATATTTACCCCCATAGACTTTTCTAAGATGGCATATTGATACATTACATTTTAATGAGATATTTCTAATTGCACATTTAGAATTTTGGCTAAAAACAAAAATGTTCCAATTTGCAGATTATTTTAAGTTACATCTTAGTGCAATCTGTATATGTTATTTGGTAATAATTTAAATAAATCATTCCAAACCATGATTGTGGTTATTTGTTGGGTTTGCATAAAATTTCCCACCAGGGTTTTCCCGCGCGGGTAATACTTTGCCAACCCTGGCATAAATATATTCACATACTTGATGACGAAACGGGCTTGATGTCCCAAAAAACTGAGTAACCAACCTAAAGCAAAAACTAACACACTTATTAGAAAAGGTGGTACACTAATAATAATAATAATAATAATAATAATAATAATTCTTTATTTAAAGAGGGTTACACACTAAAGTAAAATAGAATCATTTAAACATAATTTGACTAGACAATTTTGAGACTTTTCCCTCTTTAAAAAATTGCTCTCTTTATCATCTGCAAACCAAAAGAAAGAGAGACAGAAGGAGGGATAGACATGAGGATTCCTATATACGCAAAGGGGGTATAAAAATTCATAAGAATTAGGGAAAACAAGAAGAACTATATTTGTAGACAGCATTAACTAAAGGGGGGTAATTCTCATTTTGAGCCTTATTGCCCGTTGTCACTATCAAAGTTTTTTTGTACAAGTTTTTAATGGATTTTTTATAGTGACAAACATCAAAGTAAACTTTGATCAAAAACTTTGACGGACTTGGATGGAATAGAACCTCAACCTTTTTTTTTTTAATACTTTGATGGACCTGGATGGGAATTATCCACAGTACAGTTTTTTCTTTGACCAAGTTTTTGATGAAAAACTTTGATAGTGATAACAGATGACTTAGACCAAGTTAACCTGGTCAAAGAAAACTTTGACCAAGTTAACTTGATAGTGACAACCGGGCTTTATGTATTTGTTATTCTAATTCATATCAAACCCTTCTCTACTTCAGCTACGTTGAATCCTAAGTAATAACAATTTATGTAGCTATTAATATAGCACCTCATATCAGAATATAACTAATTACCAAATTATGAATATAAAAGAAACTTCACTGATAAACACAACAGAAAACTCTCTAATCAAAAGATATCAGTGAAATAAACATGCATTATATTAATAACTTACTAATTAGTTTAAGTTTACATTAGAAAGATACCATCTGGGTGGAATATGTATCTTAAGTGTGTGTTAATATCTTTCCTATATAAAAATCATTCCATTAATTACTAAATAGATTGCTAAGATAATCAGACCACATCAGTGAGTACGTTATGCTTCAAAGATCTCCCTACAATACTGGCTCAAAGCTTGAAACAGATTGCTAAAAGCTTGAAAATTACATTATACAAAATGTATTTTGACCTCTCAAATGTCTCCTTGACTTTCCAAAGATCATATTTGCTTTGCTCAAGGGCAGAATAACCTTGCCATCATTGAATGTTCTAATTATTCTATCATTCAACAAATAAGTACCTAATTATCTGAAATTAAGGCAAATTTACGGTTTATAACTTTCTATCCTTCATTTTTTTCTCCTTGCTCATCATCAATTCCAAATATCAGTGAAAGATATTATTACAGTCATGATAATATCCTCATAAATTTTAGAAGAATCTTTTCGAGAACTGAAATCAAACTATTAAGGTCTTTTAACAAATCATTTATCAAATGATTGAGGTATTTAAATGCTCCAGTGAGCCTCTTGTTTAGTAATCATTTCAATTATTTATTACCACATGATACCCCTGAAATGATGACATTAAATTCTTCTTAAGTACTTGGTATTTCAAATAAAATTATCTTATTTCAAGGTCACTTTGAGGTTATCTTACTATCACCTCTAACATCTTGAAAAAGTTAACTACATTGTATCCTACTATCTACAATCTAATTTATTTTCCAGTTATTTGGATAAAAAATAACTAAACAGATTATGAAACTAAATTTCTCATGGTATATCAGCATAGCAGGATCAAAATTTGTTGTGCCATTTGCACATAGTCACTGCAAAATTTTCTTTCTTTATTTAAATATATCTTTCTTTTATTCAAATAGACAGGTCCAATTAGACAACCTAAAACAAATGTCATTCTAAAAAAAAATTGTAAAGGGTTCAGTGGAACCTGATGTCTTGCCTGCAATTGGTGCTGTCAGTGTAAAACTGTAATGTTGACTCCCAAAAACTAAATCCATTTATCAGTAAAATATAGAAAAAATATTTTATTAAAATCAAATTTTTTCTTCATGTGCTATTTCTTGATCTTGAAGAAGCTTATTTCCAGTTTCAAAACATTTCATAAAGGTTTAACAAAAGTTAATGATGTTCAAAAAATATAATCCCTGACTGTATGTTAATGTAAACGGCGAACAAAAATTAAGTCTTTTGATCAGTAAAATACGGGAAAATAAAAAAAAATATTTTCAAACTTTTTCTCAGGATACTGTTTTTTGATAAAAAATCCTTCTGTTAAAGTTTCATAAAATTCCATGAAGGTTTGACAAAGTTATTGATGTCTAAAACAAACTTTAACCTGCAATACTATTATCATATTTTCAAAAAAAATTGGGGTAATCTAAAGTAATTTGTATTTAAAATGTAAACATGTGTATTTGAGAACAGATATAATCTTCCCTTTATTCACGTAGAATAAGATGCCTTAGACAAATTTATTTAAATCTAGTTTCATATTCCATCTGACAGGATATCAGCACTATATTTTATTTAATAAAAGACTTCGTTAATATTGTTGTTTATTGTATTTATATCTTTGGTCAAACCTGACTTAAACAAATTTTACTAGAAATTTTGAGGACACAAAGGCCTGAACACAAAAAATATTTTTATTGGATTTGCTCCTTCTGGCTATCATCTGAGCCTTCATACTGTGGTTCCAACATATTGATTTTTTTCAATGATGCAATGCATATAGACAGCAGGAAAGCTTTAGGATTCAGTTTCAAGATTAAAGAGGCTGACATGCTATAAAACAGATTGTCATCCATACGAATGACTTGTGTATCTACTCTGATGCTTTTCCATCATCATTAAAAACTTTCATACAATCTTACATTTTCTTGCATAATTCAATATTTTGAATAGGTAACAGCTGAATTGGAAATCTAAGTACATTGCCTTAGTACTAATAAAGAATACACAATGAATATGAACTGTCAATAAAAATTGTATTTTCTTATCATTTTTATCTATTTTATTAAATACAGTTCAACTGAACAACCTTTAGACGTAAATTCCTGTATGATTAATAAAATTTGCTACTTAATCTAAACATAGAAACACACACACTTCTTTTATCCATTAAAAAAATGGAAAATTTACAGGGGTTAAAACTGGGATTTATCTAAGGATGGTCCTTTAAATGCCACTTAGCCATTCAAGTAAGAGTTATGCCAAAATCAGATCATTTCAGAATCAAATTTGCTGGGGTAAGCTGATATTTTTTGGGAATTCTGAATTGTCTTTAAATCATTCTGTTTGGAAAAGTGTCATTTTACCAGCCCCTGAAGAAAGCCTCAAAACTCCATGTACAAGCTTTTTATTCTTATATGTCAGACTTTATGAATGACCATAAAAGCAAGAAAATTAAAAAGATAAAAAATAATTCTTTTTTCAAAAAAATGTTAATTTCTAAATACTTCTTATTTTTGAAAAGCTGGTTCGAACTTAAAACATATACCTTGTTCTTTTAATTAACTTTAACAACCAAACCATGTAAAATGCACATTAGCAGAAATAGCTTTGTGGTTTTTTTCTTTAAAGTAAAACAGACAAAAAGATCGTAGTTTAGATCACCCAGCAGTATTATGACAAGCTGGTGTTATCAGTGACAAGGGATCAGAAGTGTCCTATTCAGGCAGAAGACAGGTATTACAGGTGTTTAAATAAGGTGTTGTACCTTTGTACCTGACATGGTGGTGTGTGTCACAAAACATTTGATTATATCATACAATGAACCAGTATTTAACACCCTTGAAAAATTCATGTTTTACATCAAGTAAAATACATAATGCATAATGTCTTTGGTACAGATCCATTCAATCCTTATGACTTATGTTTATTTCGTAACACCCCATTCTTGAAAAATTAAAATGAAATGAAAAAAAAAATTGAAAGACGGTATCAAAGCTGTTTTTCAGTTATTTTGATGGGAATGATATGGCCTCTATTTCTACCTAAAATTCAACTAAGGATTTACTGATCATTATCATAATGAATCAGAGCTAAAAAAAAAAAAGACTAGATAGCAAATAGTTTCTTTGTTGAAAATTTACAAATCTGTATTCTTATCATGATGTCCTAGACCTAAATGTGGTTGAAATCCAGACGATTTAGTCAACTTTCGTTCGCCCCCAGATTTGTAGTTTGCAATTAGGAATGAAAATCAAGAAAAGCATTTATGAGGAAAAATTTCCAGGAAAAGAATTTAGCTTACATGTACCTGTATAACTAAATAAGACATTCCAAAACCTTAAATTTTGATATTTGCTTTAAGTTTTACAGTTTTTTTCCTACTTGTAATTTTGATGAGATGCCTTTATCAGAAGTCTGAAATATTTCATAAAATGATCACTTTACCAGAAATATTTACTGACATTGATATATAATATACACGTGGAAAGACATTTATGGCATGTAAATGTGTTTTATTGCATAAATAGTCATTTGTGGTCACTAATGTGGTTTTGAGTCATATCCACGGTGTTATCCCTCATTTCTCATGTAATCTCACATTTTGGTTAGAGGTTAGTATGTATGTGATTTTCATCGCACATTTTAAAATATTTCCTCCTATATAATGATAGATTTACTGTAAAACCTGGGCAAACCAAACCCTGCTGAAACTAGAAACCTCAATCAGCAATCTGAACGCATGCATCAGGACAACTAATGAAAACTCTTATTTCATTCAACCTGTATAAAAACCACACTTGTTAATGCTAATTTGGTCTTTAACTATTAGTCCAAAGAAGCAATAAGATTTGGTCACACTAGTATTAAGAGAAGGCCTGCTTGGATCAAGAACTTAAACTTAATATGGTTGGTTAATTGGTGTCTTGAAAGAGGGCAAGCGACAAGGTCACTATAGTTTAGTCTCTCAATTCCATGGGTTAATTTGTGTCTTGAAAGAGGACAAGAGAAAAGGTCACTATGGTTTTGTCCCTTAACTGTTACTTCTTGGATTGGCTGGAAAAGAAAAAATCTCTTTGGTTATCATTGTCATTCTAAAATTCATGAATGATAAAGAGACTGTCCACTTTGATAACTTTTTATACCAATCGTACTGGTGTTTTTTTTTCCCTTTCTTTTTTTAAATAAGGAGAGGTGGTATAAGTGCCAATGAGACAACTATTCACCAAAGTCTAAATGATATAAATTATATAATTAAGCAACTAAGTATGGCTCAGTTTTAGTCTTTTATGGTTATTGGCCCTTGGATCAATCCCTTTTGTTCTTTTATCAAATTTGAAAGATTTCACAATTCTTTCATTTGCTACTGATGTAATTTTTTTTTATCAAGTACACTGAGCTCTGATCATTTGTACTACTCAAGAAAATCTCGAAACTGAAAATCTTACTCTACAACAAGGTTTTTTTTTTAACAACCTTGACTACCCATGAGGGTCTTGCACGGTCAGTAGCTTACTCTAAATGCCATTAAAATAAAAAGTATTACAAACAAAAAATTGTCGATTGTTATTACTGAGTAAAACAAGTTTGGCAACAAACATCTTGATTAAAACTAAAAATAAACAATTTCAAACGTTTAAATTTTTAAAATACAAAAATAAAAATATTTTTTGTTGTCGAACTTTTTACTCAGTATATATTTAGAATATACTGTAGAAACATTAATTTTCGTGGGGTTAAAATTTCGTGGTTTTGTCTCTATATAAGATTTCATGGGGATTTAATTTCGTGGTTTCCAGTATTTGGAAGTGATCTTATATTTAGGTTAAATTTTCGAGGGGGTTTTAATTTCATGGATATATTCTTTCCACGAAATAAACGAAATTAAATCCTCCACGAAAATTTCTGCTTTTACAGTACCTCTGTATTTCCTGCTTTTCTCCTCCGTAGGCTTGGTCTGAAATCATCCCCATATCTAACAAAGTAATAATACGACACCAATCTATCCAGTGGTTTCCTTATAATGTTGATATATAAAGGCTTCTTTGCAACACCAAACCTAAAATGAAAATAAGTACACTTTAGATCAAATCTCTGGGATTTCTACTATAAATCACTGATGCCAATACAGCCTTTTGAAATTTACCATAAAAAATTGTAACATGTACAATTAAAGTCTCAGACTCTGATATCAATCCATTTCTCTTATTACACCACCTCACTGTCTAAAATACTTAATGCTATTCTAATGGTATAGAGTGCTAAGTTTATTTAGAGTTACTAAGTCATTTGAGACAAGACACAAAGAGAATACAAAGAACAAATCATGTATTTACAATCAAATATACAGGATTTCTACTTAGTCCATTATAGAGTTCTGTGTCTGGAACGATTTTCTGATTCCCTTATCATAGCCAAAAAAAAGACAGTCAGGAAAATTTATTACATGTACCATACCTCCAACCAGTGCATTTTATACAGACAGCAACATTACATAAACCTGAAGCAGGTCAGCATTAAAAAGGGACAGATTTATTCAAAAATTCATTAAAATTTTGAAAATATTCTACCTAAAACAGACCTGTTTTGTAAATATCAAACATGCCAATCAAATCAGAAAATAGCTCTGGATACAAAATCCCCAAAGGGATATAATTTCTACTCAAAGTTCACTCCTAGAAAAATCATTCACATGTTAAATGTTTCCATAATTAAACTTGCATTGGTCATACAAGCACATATGGAAGTTTGAATTGAAATGGACAGCCAAATTTCAACTGAGTTGAGCTGCATCCTTTTTGACTTAAGGTTTCTATTACAAACTGTATATATAAACTTCATTTTATTCATGATTTAAAATTTTTCTATCAATATTTATTTTGCATATGGTATTAATGTTGTTGAATTTGGTGTCATAATTAAAGCAGGAATTTTATACATATTTTCCACATGCAAAATAAATTAAGAACTGCGGAACCTGAGCACCTCTGAAATTTTGTATTGGTAGAGATCTCTTCAGTGGATGCAAATAAGTAAAAGTTATCCCCAAATGAATATTTCCATAATTACAAAAGGTCACCAAGTGTAAGTTTTCAATATAAAAACAGAACTCAGAAGTGGATTGATAAAACATTACAGAGAATGACTAAATTCCCTCGGGAGGAAGACTTTAACACAGTCATCTACAAAATACGGAAGCCAATATGTCTTTACTGACATATACAGTCATATTTGATGTAGAACATTTTATGAATATAGAAAATAATTGCCTAGCTGGAAAAAATCCTAAACAGTTAATCAAACAGCAAACAAGATTAAATTGCCGGGTCAATATTCGTATTGTCATCTCCTCGCTCATAATTGGATCAGCGATCCTCCATTAATAGTTGGTAGTACGATAATCAACACTTGTGTTATAGACAGAAAATATCAGGATTGGTTTTATTAAGTGCAAGAATGACCATTTAATTTTCTAACCTGACTTATGACCAGAGTATTGACCAGCATTAATCATCTTCATTAATCAAATCTTGATTTACTGACAAAAGCTATGATCTTTTGTATTGTCTATAAAATTTGTCAATTATCATATTTTCCTGCCAAAAGTCAGAAGTTCTCTCCAGGTACTCGAGTTTCCTAGATTTGTGCTGACATGATGTTAAGCAATCATTCATCAATCAATCAATTATTACACTATTGTTGTGGTATCAGCAAGATCCTGCAAATTTACGAATGACCGACATTTTTTCATGTGTATGTACCTCAATAAAACTGATTATATATGTCAATGAACTATCGGTTGTCTGACATGTACTAGCCAAGAGGCAAACAGTAAAACAAAAAACAATAATGCATCATTAAATGGTTATTGTGTTTGCAGAAAAGATCAAATTATAACTTGAAAATCCAATTTACTTTTTAGATCCATGAATTTGCTAAAAGCATTTCTGGATTCTCCAGTTAAAAAATATTGAGATCTTAATTGAACACGATACTATGTCATCAACGTCAGGACCATGTATGAGTTTAATGCTGATTACAAAAACGCGGAAGCAGAAGACAACAGTTGATTCTGACCAATCATCAGAGACATGCATGTGATGATATTAAAAAGGTTATATTCTGTTTACTCCTCTCAAAAGTTCAAATATATGAAAATTCTATGGCATTTTAAATTTTAAAAGGCGGAAGCAGAAGACAACTGTTGATTCTGCCCAATCAGAGACATTCATGTGATGATATTTAAAAAAGGGTTATATTCTGTCTACTTCCCTCAAAAGTTCAAATAAATAAAAATTCTATGACATTCTAAATTCATTATCCAATTTATATTAATGATTTCTTTTATGATTAAATGCCATGGCATAGAGGCCATGCAAATATTCACAGTACTAATTTCTAATTCTTTGCTTCTTCAGTCTGTAATCTAGATCTTAATCAATAATTATAACCAATCAATGAGAATTTTATAATAAAATCTAAGTTTCATTCCCACGAGAACGTAGATAAATCCATTGTCTCCTTAATACTGTATTTCTAAACTTAAATTCACAGTAAGTAATTCATTTTTACAAAAGCCTGTTATGTAACCTTTGTTATAAGAGAAATTTCATTTTTAATGTATAAGCAATGTAAGTCTTTTACTTTTAGACATAGGACTAAGGCATCTTTTTAAATCTGAATGCAACAAAAGACAGAGAACACACACTGAAATGTGTCACTTGCTTTACTGACCATAATTGATTTTATGCTGAAAGTCTTACAGGTCAATTTTTACTACAAGCATAAAAAAATTCATTGTAATGGAGCAAACCTACCACTAAATTCTTCAAACAATTTACTAAAGAAAAGGAAAAAAATCCAAAATCTTTTACAAATCTTTTAAAGAAATGAGTTATTTCCCTTTGAACAGAAATCTAGTAATTAATAAGTATTTCATCAAAAATTTAATTCTAGGGAAAGTTAAAAAATGAGTTAATTCCCTTTGAACAGAAATCTAGTAATTAATAAGTATTTCATCAACAATTTAATTCTAGGGAAAGGGCTTTAACTGAACAAGGAGAAAAGCTAAAATCGTGAAAATCGAACTTGACCTGTAACTTGTCATGATCAAACAATACACCAAATATCAAATCAATATCTTCAAGCATGAAGAAAAAAAGTCTGGAAAATTGATTTGCCGGACTGACGGATGGACAGACATACGGACGGACAGACAGAGGGACAGAGTGCAAACCTAAAGTCCCCTTCGACTTCGGGGACTAATCAAAGAACCTTTGTGAGCACACTCACATACCCCATGGCCCGACATTGTCACTGGGCAAACAAAATATAACTAGATTCCTTAGTTAAAAGACCCAAAATTTCTACTAAAGTCAACTGATAAAAATTTCTTGTGGATATGCAGATCTACATATTATGTCCCTATTATCTTCAAAGTTTCATAAAATTCTGTTGTGTGGTTTCAGAGGAGTTGTGATGACAAACTGCTGCAATAGAATATTAAGGTCAAAATTCTAAGTTCAAAGTGGCTTAACTCCAAGAAAAAAAAAAGAATAATCATTTTCTATTGATATGCACATCTACATAGTATGTCCTTATTGTCTACAAAGTTTTGTGTGAATTCAGAGGAGTTGCTTTGACAAACTGTTGCAGTAGTATATTTAGGCCAAAATTTTAAGTTCAAAGAGCATAACTCCTAGAAATAAAATGCTCCGCAGGGCGCAGCTTGATACGACCGCAGAGGTCGAACCCTGAACAGTGGGGGCAAGTATGGACACAACATTCAAGCTTGATACAGCTCTGAATTTGGATTGTGATTAAATATTTGACACAGCATAGGTTTCTGACACAGAATGAATGTGGTCTGGTCTAAGAACTTAAAAATTTAAAATTGGACATTCACCTATTATGGTCCAATATCCAAAATCTAAATACATGGTTAGATTCAGCATATCAAAGAACCCCAAGAATTCAATTTTTGATGAAATCAAACAAAGTTTAATTTTGGACCCTTTTGACCTCAATGTGGACAAAGTTGATAACGGGGCCCAAAAATCAAAAATCTAAATACATGGTTAGATTCAACATATCAAAGAACCCCATATATTCAATTTTTGTTGAAATCAAAAAAAGTTTAATTTTGGACCCCGATTTGGACCAACTTGAAAACTGGGCCCATAATCAAAAATCTAAATACATGTTTAGATTCAGCATATCAAAGAACCCTAAAAATTCAATTTTTGTTAAAATCAAACTAAGTTTAATTTTGGACCCTTTGGACCTTAATGTAGACCAATTTGAAAACGGAACCAAAAATTAAGAATCTAAATACACGGTTAGATTCGGCATATCAAACAACCCCAATAATTCAATTTTTGATGAAATCAAACAAAGTTAAATTTTTTGACCCTTTGGACCTCAATGTGGACCAATTAAAAAACGGGTCCCAAAATCCAAAAACTTAATACACAGTTGGATTCAGCATATTAAAGAACCCCAAGAATTCAAGAATAAAACCCCATTGAAATTGATCAAGAAATAAGCAATTTATACGAAGTATCTTCTTTTGCACAATACTGTGCAATTGAATATTTCTTGCTATTGCGCAATACTGTACAACTGACAATTTCTTGCTATTGCGCAATATTGTGCTATTGGATATTTCTTGCTATTGCGCAATACTGTGCAATTGAAGATTTCTTGCTATTGCGCAATACTGTGCAATTGAAGATTTCTTGCTATTGTGCAATACTGTGCTATTGAAAATTTCTTGCTATTGCACAATACTTATTATATAATAATTTACATATCCTGTTTGGTGTGTATCTCCTACCATATCATTATTATTTGCTTTTAAATATAAATCAGAAATAACCAACTTAAAATGGAAAATTTTAAAAGAATAAAAAAAGGAAAAAAAGAAAAGAAAAAAAATCCCCCCCCCCAAATTTTTTGAACCCCCTTATGATTCATCACCCCCAAACTCAATCCCAGCCTTCCCTTTGTGGTATGGTACCTTGCAGTACAATTTCAGAGAAATCCATACACTTGAACACA